AAGGCTGGGTGATGAATAGTCTCCTCCCCTCCACTTCTAGTAAATACCTCAAATTTACTTTTCTTACACCCACATTTTCACCCCAATCCAGGCACTAGATGGCTGGGTAGGGCTTGACATTTTTGAGACAGAGATGCTGTGTGGGGACTGTCTTCCTGAGTGATGTAAGTTGAGTAGGCATCCACTGTCTGGCATGTAGGATATACTGGAGCTTTGAGGTTGCCCCCCCTCCAGTGCTCCTTGTCTTGGCAGCCTTAGCTGCCTTAGCAAGGAGTGGGGAAATTTTGCCTGGGGTTCAAGGAGCATCTTTGGGAAAAAGGAACCAAAGAATAAAATTTCTTCTCTTCTGAAGATCAGTGTCATAGGAAATCTCTTGAGGGACTAAGTTAATCTAGACTGAAGACTATGGGCAGGAAAGGACACTAAATGCTCTGGAGAAGAAACTTTCCATGATCAAGGGGAGGTGGCCCGGGCTAAACAGAAGGATCCAAGGGATTCTGGGCGTTGGTTGGGTTCCGAAACAATGTGTGTGTTTATGGAAGCCCTTCTTGTCAAGCCCCTTTGACCTGGCAGGAGGATGAGTTTTATCACCTATAGGATGCCTGGTTTCAGCAGTGATACTGAGTGGCAGACAGAAGCAACAGCGCAGAAAACCAAGGCCCCCTAGTGGTAAGTCCTGGCATTCTCTGACACATTGTTCAGAAGCTAAGCTGTGTCCGACTCCTTGCAGCCCCATGAACTGCAGCACGCCAGGCTTGACACATTGGGTGTTACAAGAGGGGATATTTGTACATTTGTAGATTTCCCCTCCATCCCCTTGTCATTTAGTTTCTAAGTCATGTCCAACTCTTTTGCAATCCCATGGACTGTAGCCTGCCAGATTCCTCTGTCCATGTGATTTCCCAGACAAGAATAGGGGATTGCCATTTCCTTCAGGGGATCTTCCTGACCCAGGGATCAAACCCATGTCTCCTGTATTAGCAGCAGATTCTTTACCACTGATTCACCAGTGTTCTTTATATAGTAATGGGACTATTGCCCCCAGGTGTCCACCCTTATCAGTTCAGTTCAGTTCAGTCGCTCAGTTGTGTCCGACTCTTTGCAACCCCATGAATCGCAGCACACCAGGCCTCCCTATCCATCATCAACTCCTGGAGTTTACCCAAACTCATGTCCATCGAGTCAGTGATGCCATCCAGCCATCTCAACCTCTGTCGTTCCCTTCTCCTCCTGCCCCCAATCCCTCCCAGCATCAGGGTCTTTTCCAATGAGTCAGCTCTTCGCATGAGGTGGCCAAAGTATTGGAGTTTCAGCTTCAGCATCAGTCCTTCCAATGAACACCCAGGGCTGACCTTTAGGATGGACTGGTTGGATCTCCTCGCAGTCCAAGGGACTCTCAAGAGTCTTCTCCAACACCACAGTTCAAAAGCATCAACTCTTTGGAGCTCAGCTTTCTTCACAGTCCAACTCTCACATCCATACATGATCACTGGAAAAAACCATAGCCTTGACTAGATGGACCTTTGATGGCAAGGTAATGTCTCTGCTTTTTAATATGCTATCTAGGTTGGTCATAACTTTCCTTCCAAGGAGTAAGTGTCTTTTAATTTCATGGCTGCTGTCACCATCTGCAGTGATTTTGGAGCCCAAAAAAATAAAGTCTGACACTGTTTCCCCATCTATTTCCCATGAAGTGATGGGGCCAGATGCCATGATCTTCGTTTTCTGAATGTTGAGCTTTAAGCCAACTTTTTCACTCTCCTCCTACACTTTCATCAAGAAGCTTTTTAGTTCCTCTTCACTTTCTACCATAAGAGTGGTGTCATCTGCATATCTGAGGCTATTGATATTTCTCCTGGCAATCTTGATTCCAGCTTGTGCTTCTTGCAACCCAGTGTTTCTCATAATGTACTCTGCATATAAGTTAAATAAGCAGGGTGACAATATACAGCCTTGACGTACTCCTTTTCCTATTTGGAACCAGTCTGTTGTTCCATGTCCAGTTCTACCTGTTGCTTCCCTTATCACTGCAGACAAATAGCAGACATTAAAAAAAAAATTCTTGGGTAGGAATCCTTCCCCATCTGATCTAGTCTGGGTGGATTTTTTTTTTCCTCGCTCACTCTCTCTTTTTTAAAATTTGTTTTTATTTATTTATTTAGCTCTGTCAGGTCTTAGTTGTGGCATCTTAGTTGCAGGATCTTCCATTCTTGCTGCGTCTTGTGGAATCTTTAGTTGTAGCATGCAAACTCTTTAGCTGTGGCATTTGGGATCTAGTTCCCCAACCAGGGACTGAACCCAGACCCCCTGCATTGGGAGTGTGGAGTCTTAGCCACTGGACCACTAAAGAAGTCTTTTTTTCTACTTATGTCCCCCCTCTCTCTTTTACCTCCATGCCTCTAAATTTCACAGATAGCTTTGTAACCTATTTAATACCTGTTTTTAGGAAGTAAGCTTCAGGAGATATGGATTGTATATCTTGTTTATTGCTGTATCCTCAGCCCCTAAAACAGTATTAGGCATTCATTCATTCAGTTGACAAATTCTCACGGAGTGTCGTGTGCCAGGCCCTGTACTAGGCATCAGGTGGGGGTGGGGAGGGGAGTAGCGGTTTGCCAAATACTGACTCTGCTCTTATGGAACTTATGTTCTAGTGGGGAGAGATGGAGAACAAACCAATGCCTGGTGTTGGGAATGGTGGTGAGTGAAGCAGGGTGAGGAGCATCTGCTCCGGGAAGTGGACTCTGATCATTGACCTTGGAGCAGGGACCTGAAGGAGGGGAAAGGGGAGCTGCAGGGAGATTTGGGAGAGTCCAAGGCAAGGATACAAGCCCTGAGCTAGAGTGTACTTGGCTGACCTAGAGGCCAACAGGGCCTGGAAGCAGCACAGGAGTGGAGTAGGGAGCGGCGCCTTTGAAGGCCACTGTAAGGACTGCAGATTTGATTTGGAGTGAAATAGGGAGATTTCCTGGGGCTTCCCAGGTGGCGCTGGTGGTAAAGAATCCCCTGCTAATGCAGGAGATGCAGGAGACACAGGTTCAATCCCTGGGTTAGGAAGATCCTCCAGAGGAAGGCACGGCAACCCACTCCAGTATTCTTGCCTGGAGAATCCCATGGACAGAGGGGTCTGGTGGGCTGCAGTTCATAGAGTTGCAAAGAGTTGGACATGACTGAAGCAACTTAGCATGCATGCATGCAGGGAGCTTTTGTAGGCTTTCCAACAGAATGACAGGTGTCACCTATGCGCAGACTCACTCTGGCTGCTGTCCTGAAAAGACCCTGAAGAGGCTCAGGAGAGGAAGCTGGGAGTGAGTGAGGGGTACCAGGCAGACGAGGGTTGCCAACTTCCTTGCTGGCGGTGCACGCATTCAGATTCTGGGTAGAGCTGTGGCTGAAGGCAGAGCCAAAAGAACTGTTCTGTTGTCAAGGGTACGTAATTAATAAATATTTGCTGAATGAATGTTGAATCATGAAACTCCTCATCGCCCGCCTGACTCCCCTGCGTTAGAACGTCCATTTGCCTGCTGCCTTGAGTCTGCAGCCTCAGCCAATCAGCTTTTTTGTACCCGCTGTGCCCGCCACCCAGACAACTCCCGAAGCCTCTGGTCTCCGTCTTTGGGGAGTTCCTGCCTCCTCCGAACTTGACCAGCTTCCTGGTTACATAATTTCCCAGCCCCCAGGTTTCCACGTGGGTGATGTCTGCTGCATCATTAGATCACTGGCTGCCCAAGGACGGGGCCCCATCTGTCCTGTTTACTGGCACATCCCCAGGCCCCGCTAGGAAGCCAGGTGCACAAAACGCGCATGGTAAACATTTGCTGCTGGGTGGCTGGATGAGTCGCTTACTCTGTTCCTCTGGGCTTTTTGGCCGCTGTTTCCTGCCCAGTCTGAAGGGCTCCACGCTGAAGCTGGAGTCCAGTTCAGGGAAAGCTCCCTACTTCTCCCCCACAGAACACGGGTCCTTGTTCCTTTCATGCTCCATCATCCCTGGCTGGGGTCTCCTCTAGCTCACGCAAGAGGTCACAGGAGGCCTGTGGTAGCTGCCTTTGGACTCTGCAGACCCGACCTTAAACCATGTGTTGTTTTCAGTTTCCAGAGTTAATTCTGTGTACCTCCCTCTCTAGGCCCTATCTGAGACAAGACAAGACACCCAGTGGTAATTTTTCTAAACTTTTGTTTATTTTATAGCAATTGTCATGATTAGAGAAGTAAATAACACATTTAAAAACCTTCTCAGGGCCAAAGGATGCCAGAGTATTTACAAACACACGGTGGAGGACGGTGGCAACATGAGGGTCTGGAGCTGCGGGGCTGGGATCCCACCCAGGCCCCGAGTCAGGCTGGAATGCTGACACCAGCCACCAGGATGGTCCCACCGGCCACAGCGTGGGCCCGGGGAGCATTGGCAGCCTTAGGGCTCTGCTCAGCTGGCCTGGTGGCAGACCGCTTAGCTAACCTGTGGCCCTGCCTTCTGCCCAGGGGCTCGCCACACCCCACAGGCCAGCTCTGAGGGGCCTCTGGGAAGCACCGAAGGACAGGGGGCAGTGTAGGGGGCGTGGGGCTGGGACAGAGGTCGGGGATGACCCAGCTGGCCCAGGGTGTGACAGAGACACGCGCGTGTGTGCGCACACACAAACACCTGCACAGAAGAATCGCGAGGGTTTTTTTTTTCCTAAGTCTTCAGGTCTACGGTGTGATTCATTTTTTTGCTATTTACTTGTTCTTTGACAGTGACATAAACTGAGGTAAACATCTGTGACCAACACCTCTCCTAAGGGGCAAAGGGTCCCAGTCCCCCCAGCAGAGGTGGTGGTGGCGGCGGCAGCAAGGCCCCGACCAGGAGGGCGGGTGCAGAACCGGTTCCAGTCCTGCTTCCAGTCGGCTGCCACTGCCCCCTCCCTGTGCCTCTGAAAACAGGGGCTGGGCTACAGAACTACGGTCCCTTCCCAACTCTAACATCCTAGATACTACGACAAGGGAGAGACTCTCAAAACAGGATCTTAACAGAGAGAGAGAGAGAAAAGAGGGCGCACGTGAGGGGCGTCTACTTGGAATCTCGCTTCCGTGTTATTGCAGGAGAGACGGGATGTCGAGAGGCCTAAGGCAAAAGGAGAAGTCGAGGCTGGGAGAAGTGCCCAGATGGGCTCCAGGTGGGCTGGGGGGGCGGGGCAGTGATGGGGAGGCAGGCCCTGCTCCAAGACTTGGCCCGTGGCGGGGGCGGGTTTGCTACTTACCTGGCATGTGTTGGGCCCCCATGCCCGCCGGGGAGGTGGGTCTCTAGATGGGCGGGCACACTGAGGAGGCAGGCGGACCAGGCCCTGGGGCAACCGCACTGTAAACTGGCCCCGGGCAGGGCGGGGGGACCTATAGCCCTTTTGCATGGTGGGAATGCGGGTGAATGGAGAAGTGGGGGCTCTCGGCCAGAGGGTCCCCTCTGGTTAGCCTGGCCCACTAGGGAGCTCCCTCAAATGGCCGAGAACCCCAGGAGGGACCCTGGAAGGTGTGGCCCGGGACAGCCGGCAGGGTGCTGCCAGGCAGAGGGAGCAGCCTCTCCTGGGATGAGGTTATTGCAGGGTCCCAGGCCTCCATGGACAGGGCAGGAGTCGTGAGGGTGGGCTTTGTGAGGCTGGGCTCCTCTGGCCTGTTGCGCTGCCTCGGGGCCTTAGTGGGCCTGCAGGTGCCTCCTTGCCGGGCTCCCTGAGGGGTGTGCTGAGCCGCGGGCCTGGGCGCCCTCTGGCAGCTGCCCGCTGAGAATTCTGGGGCGGAGTGACTGGGGTGTCTGGATGCAGCCACTGAACAGAGCTAAACGCACATAGGTGCCTTCTGCATGTGCTCACACTGCACACGTACCTGTTCACACACTCACTCCCTCCCATTTCCAGGGCGCCTTATTCTCACACCCACACCCCAGTACCAGAAACTTGGGAGACGCCGGGATGGAGTCAGCCCCAGGCTCAGATGTTGTTGGACTCCAGCAGAAACCCGGGAGAAACTCCTGGCACAAGTAACCTCGCTGCCTGCTCAAAGTCCAGGCCACTCAGTCTGGGCTGGGGCAGCGAGGATTGAGAGGATCTGAGCAAGGTTTCCCTGGCCGGTGGAAGGTGCCTGTGGTCAGGCGGAGCTGGGTCGCGCCCGGGCTCTGAACTCATTCCCCGGGCCTGGGGATGCAGGGGCTTGAGGTCCCTGGCCATGGAGACCTTCAGTTGTCCTGAAATCCCTGTGGGGGGAGGGGGAGGGCTGCGGCCTCTCTGGCTGTGTGTGGTCTTGGCCGGCCGCCCTCCTTTTGGGCTCTGTGTCCTCATCGGGGTGGCGGGGACTGGGTGGTGGGAGAGTCACAGGATTCTTGGGGCCTGTTTACACACACTGCTGCGACATCCAGACGTTTGCTACATTTTTGCAGGGGGCGTGGTCCCTCCCCCTAGCCCTCCCTGGAAAGGGGCCGGTCTCAGATGAGCCCTGCCCTCGGCTCTCCGCCCTCCTCCCAGCCAGTGCCTAGACGCCCTAAACCCCTTCTCCGCCCCAACACTTCGGTTCCTTTACGTTCCCAGGGTGGGGGTGGGGGCGGGAAGGTGGGGAGGGGGATGGGACCAGGGGTGGGGCGGCGGGATTATCTGCCAGGGGTTGCAAAGGGCCCGGAGCAACTAGTTCAGGGTCCCAGGGTTCAGGGAGGTGTGGGGGAGTCTGCCGGCAAGCTCCCTTGCTCCCGGTGTCGGGGGTGGGGGGTGGGGGGTCGGGGCCTCTGAATCCTCGGGTCTGTGGGGCTGGGCTCCTTTGGTGGCATCTCATCGGCCCGCCGCTGGGCCGGGCGCCTGCCTCGCCTACCACTAATCCCTCCTGCCGCCGCGGGGTGCTGGCCGCTTCGGCCAGGGCGGCTCCCCGCGCCCCGGCCTGGCTGCTGCTCGGCGCCCGGGCCCCGAGGGCGGCGGGGGCGGCTCAGACGCAGATCTCGATGGCCGTGGCCAGCACCACCTGCCCTTTGCTCTTGTCCGGGCGGCCGTCGGTCCTGCCGGGAGGCCCCGGGGGGGCCAGGCCGGGCTCGGGCACGGGGACCGGCACGGGCACGGGGACTGGGACCGGCACAGGTCCGGGCCCGACAGCGGGAGGCGCGGGCCGGGAGCCGCTGCCGCTCTCGGTGAGCACCGTCCGCTTGAGCGGCCCGGGCGCCTCGAGGCGCAGCGGCCCGGCGGCCGGCGGGCGGTCCCCGGCGGGCTTGCGCGCGCGGTGCGAGGGCCGGCGCCGCAGCTCGGACGTGAGCTCGTGCTTGAGGAAGCGAAAGACCTCCTTGGCCGGCCCGCGGCGCTCGGGCTCCAGCGCCAGGAGCCGCTGGAACATGCGCAGCGCTGGCTCGGTGAAGCGGCGCCACTGCGACGGCAGCCCCGGCAGGCGGCCCCGCTGCCAGCGTACGAACTCCTCGAAGAAGGCGTCGGCGCCCGACGCCGCCTCCCACGGGAAGTTGCCGGTGAGCACGCAGAAAATGAGCACGCCGAAGGCCCACACATCCACGCCCGTGTCCACCGCGAAGCCGTCGGCGCGGCCCGCCTGGCACACCTCGGGCGCTGTGTATGGGATGGTGCCGCTCACTCGCTTCACGCGGCAGCCCACGCGGCGCGTCATGCCGAAGTCGGCCAGCTTCACGCGCCGGCACTCGCGGTCGAACAGCAGCACGTTCTCCGGCTTGATGTCGCGGTGCACCAGCTGCCGACCGTGCATGAAGTCCAGCGCCAGGCCCAGCTGCTGCACGCAGCGCTTCACGGTGTCCTCGGGGAGCCCCACCTGCGACCGGAGGGGAGGGCGGGAGAGCGGCTCAGGAGGCAGGCAGCTCCCACCCGCCCTCTCCTTCCATCCCCGCCCCTCCTTCCCATCCCTGCCCCCTCCTTCCCATCCCCGCCCCGCCCTCACCCCCCCCCCCCAACTCCTTCTCGGGTCCCTTTCCTCAGCAGATCCGGGGCCAGCCGCCCTTCCTTATCCTACTTGGGCATCCCCGGCTCCCTCCCTGGCCCCCGGGTTTTCACACACCCCTCGAACTTTCCCCACCTTTTCCCTCAGTACCTGTACGGAGCGCCTGCTTTGGGCCAAGTACTGGGCTAGGAAAGACCCCATCCCTCAGGGTCTGCTGTCTGCCCATCTCCCTTAAACGGCGGCTCTGAGAGGCCTTGTCAGTCATCCGGCGGCAGGGCAGTTTCGTCCTGGCCGACTGGGAAGCCAGGTGGGGGGAATCCCCGGGGGCAGTGTCCCCATCGCGGGCACCTCCTCTGGGAAGACTGGTGGCCCTGCCAACTCCCCTCTTGGGTCCCCACCTGTTCCTATGCGGCGGTGGGGGAGGGGCTGCTGGACTTAATCCCACCCACCGCCGGTCCTCATCGCAGTGGGGTGCCCAAGTCACTTCAGTCTGTCTGACTCTGCGCCCCTGTGAACTGTAGCAGGCCAGGCTCCTCTGTCCCTGGGATTCTCCAGGCAGGAATACTGGAGTGGGTTGCCATTCCCTTCTTCATCATCTCAGTGCCTCATCTGGCTGTGGACTGTCTGTTTCCCCCACTAGGACCATAGCAGGACCTTTTGTTTACTGTGTATCAACAACCCTCCAAACAGTGACTGATATACAGTAGGCGCCTAATAAATGATTTAAGCGAGTGGCCTGATCCTCCTCAGCTCTCACACTCGGGGACCCAGAAGACCCTCTCCCCTCCCTCAGCCACCACCCAGGTACCTGAGGAGGAATAATGTCGAATAGGTCCCCGGCGGGCGCGTACTCCTGGGCGAAGACATAGCAGTCCTCGGTCTCAAACACTACGTCGAAGACCTTGATGATGAAGGGGCTGGAGGAGAGGCTGTTGGTGATGCTCACCTCCCGCAGGAAGTTCTTCAGCTTGGTTTTGCTCTTGTTCACAAACTTCAGCGCCATCTTCGTACCTAGCCGGGCGACAACGAGAGCGGTGAGGAGCCCCCTCCCTGCGCCCCTGCGCCCCACACAGCTGTGCCTGTCTGCAGAGCCTGTCTGGGCCACTGTGCACAACTCAACGGGAGCCCCAGTGGGCGGGCTGTCCTCGTCTCACAGGTAGGAAACTGAGGCCCAAGAGGGGAAGGCCATGCAGCAAGTCAGGGGTCAGCCTGGGTCCTCTCTGCCCCACCTGCAGGCCCCACGAGGCGGGCCTGCTGCTTCCTCCACCCTCTCATTTTCCTTACACACTGTGTACTTACCTATCCTGTCTGTCTGCCCTGGTCAGAGGCCCTTGAACGCAGGAAACTGTCTCTTTTTTTTTAAAGATTTTGTTGTTGTTGTTGTGGACCATTTTTTTCAAGTCTTTCATGAATTTGTTACACTATTGCTTTTGTTCCTTGGCTGTGAGGCATGTGCCATCCCCAGTTCCCTGACCAGGGATGGGACCGGCACTCCCCTGCCCTGGAAGGTGAAGTCCCAACCACGGGACCTCCAGGGAAGTCCCAGGAATCCGTGTCTTGTTTGCTGTTGTATTTCCAGTGCTCACAGAACAGCCTGGTGCATAGCAGGTGCTCCAAAAACGTTTGTTAAGCAGATGAATAAATAAGAAGGCAGACACACAGCGGCGAGGGCCTGCAAGGCACAGGTCCCTGACTCTGAGCTTGAGCAGCCATCTGTACCCAGCTGGGTACAGAGCTATGTGACATACATGTGTGTTCACAGAGCGCTTACACATCACGGGTCCTGCCTTCTGCACTTCACTTTCACAACTCACTCTTTTAATAAAGATCCTATCAGCTGGGCATTAATGCTCCTCTGTTTTACAAAGGAGGAAACCTAGGCACAGAGAGGTTAAGTCACGTGCCCCAGGTCACACAGCAAGCAAGCAGCAAAGCTCAGGTGACCCCATGTGCAAGGCTCTTCCTTCTGGCCCGGTCCCCTCTGAGCGCAGCTCTGGGCACCTATGCAGCCCCCCGTCCCTGGCTGGCTGACGGGCACTGCGGTGAGCTTACACTGTGGCGAAGGTGTCACGTTCAGCAGTTAAGCAAGAAGGCCCCGGAGCTGATGACTGGGGGCTCATCCGAGATCATACTTTCTGTAGCTGCGTGACCTGGGCTAAGTGACTGCATCTTTCTGGGTCTCAGTGTCCTTGGGATCTGAGGAAAGGAGACGCCACACGGACCTCACAGGGCCCTCTCCCACCTGCTGTTAAGCATGGTGCTCTGTTCTCGAGGACCCCAGTTCAGTTTGGTCCACCCTCCCGAGGGCAGCTATCACATATATGCTGGTCAGCCCCCAAACACCACCGCCAGCCCTGACCTTTCCCCTGATTCCACATGTCCCTAGGCGCATCTCCTTGGCTGTCCCGAGGGCACTTTTGTTCAGTTGCTGAGTCGTGTCTGACTCTTGGCGACCCCATGGACTGCAGTTCGCCAGGCTTCCCTGTCCTTCACTATCTCCTGGAGTTTGCCCAAACTCACGTCCATTGAGTTGGTGATGCCAGCCATCTCATCCTCTTTGGCTGTCCTCAGGGCACTGTGGATGGCCCCAGAGCAGCCCACCCTCCAGTGGGGGCACTCTACCCAGAGATTCTTCCCTTGTCCCCTCCTTCCCCGGCCGCTTCACCCCACACTCTCTCCACAGGTACTGGACTCTGCCTCTCTGCTGGCCTCCTGGCCCCCACAGAGAGCCCCCGCCAGGTCCCCACTCTTGTCTTACAGCGGGCCGCCCTGGAGACACTCACCTGTGCCCTTGTAGGCCACCAGGTCGACCTTCCCATAGGTGCCCTTGCCCAGCTCCCGGACGAGTTCGTAGTGTTTGGTGACATCGCTCGCGGCCACTGTGCGGAGGGTCAGCGCCTGCATGTCTTCGGTGAGGAGGGGCACACCGGCACCCAGCCCGGGGGCGGTCCCTGGCCCACAGCAGGGCAGGGAGTGGGGAGGCTCGGGCTCTGGGCAGCCCGTGCTCATCTTCTCCCTGGTGTGGGGGTGGGGAGAGGGATGGAGTGTGACATCAGGCCCCTCCACCACCCACCTTCTCCCCGTCCAGGGCCCAGGATCTCTGGGGCTGGGCCCGATGCCAGGCCTCAGATGACCACGAGGGGGCGACGAGCATCTTTGCTGCGAATGGTTGGTTTAGTTGCTAAGGCATGTCCAAACTCAAAAGACCCCCGGACTTTTAGCCCACGAGGCTCCTCTGTCCATGGGATTCTCCAGGCAAGAACTGGAGGGGGTTGCCATGGCCTCCGCCAGGGGATCTTCCTGACCCAGGGTTCAAATCTGCGTCTCTTACGCCTCCAGCATTGGTAGGCGGGTTCTTTACCACTGAGTCACCTGGTTCAGTGGTAAAGAAGAATCACCTGGGAAGTTCCTCATCCTTTCCTGGAAGCTTCAGGGTCAGGCCTGAGCCAGCGTTCCCCAGAGACACGGCCACTGCCCCACCGCTCCCTACTTGGGTGTCTCATGCTATCATCCAGACACAGTGTCAGGCAAGGCACATGTGTTTATGTCACATGAAGACATGCCACATGCTGAGTTCACATGGGTGCTCCCATTCACAAGTACTGATCAGCACCCGCTGTTTGCCAGGTGCTGTCTGGAGCCCTGGGGACACAGCCCTGAACACACAGGACTTATGTTCAAGGTGGGGAAATGGACAATACACAGTGAGCCCACAAATTATATACTGTGATAAAAGGTGACATGGGCTGTAGAGAAAATAAGGCTGGGGAGGGGAAGGTGGGGTGTGAGGAGAGGTTGTTCAGTCGCTCAGTCGTTTCGGCTCTTTGCAACCCCACAGACTGCAGCACGCCAGGCTCCACTGTCCATGGGGTTTCTCAGGCAAGAATACTGGACTGGGTTGCCATTTCCTTCTCCAGGGGATCTTCCCGACCCAGGTATGGAACCCAGGTGTCCTGCATTGCAGGTGGATTCTTCACCGACTGAGCCACCAGGGAAGCCATAACAGGGGGCAGAAGTCTCAGACAAAATCATGCCAGGGCGGTGCAGGCTGGCCACATCCCCACCACGGCCTTAGCCTTATAATCCGTCCCCGACCTCAGATGACCACACACAGCCCAGCTCAAGTACACAACTGCAGCTGTAGCTCCTGGGTCTCCGCCCAGGCTCCCTGGATACAAGGACAGAATGCCTGTTCTACCACGACCCATCCTCCACATTCACCGCTGGCCCCTTCTGTGTTCACATGGGCTGGGGGAGGGGGCTTCCTGGACACACCCACCCCTTCGGGGGTACTGAGTTTGCTTCTCGATGGTGCTGGGGGTGCAGAGAGCTGCAGTGGGAAGCATTCAGGGGTGGGTGACAGCAAATGCTTATCTGGGGTCTGCATTTCTCATCTGTCTAATGGAGGGAGGCTTAGACCAGGGAGCCAAGCATCAGGGAACAAGTGTCCATGTCTGCCTATGCACCAGTGAGGGAGGCTGGCGGTGAACCCCCTCTGGTGCTGAGCCTCAGCACCAGCTCCCTCCAGTCCCAGGTGGACCACCAGTGTTCCCGGTACCCACAGCCCGCCCCTCAGCCCCCACTCCTGTCCTTGCGGTTCAGAGTGAAGGTACAGACTTGGGGCCAGACTGCCCAGTTGGAAGCCGGGCTCGATGACTTGCTAGCTGGATGTCCTTGCTCAAGTTACTTCCTGCCTTTGTGCCTCGGTTTCCCCATCTTATAAAAAGAATACAATAGTGTCTTTTCCCTGAGGGTTACAGGACATGAAGTGGTTGGTCCCTGGTGCACAGTAAGCGCCTCCCCAAGAAGCAGGTGTGGTTGGGTTCTCATTCTGATGATGGTTGCCCGCTGAGCTGGGCTGGAGGCTGGGATCTGGGGTGAGCCCAGCCTGGGAGCCTGGCATCTTTACCCTGGCCAGGCCAGCCGCTCCCCTCCCAGGCCCAAACCCTCTTCTCCTCCTCTGCTTTCCCCTTCCCCCTCGGCACGACCCAGCCTCCCACTTCACACGGAGAAGAGGAACATCAGGAGGGAACTTCCTGCCTCCCACCCAGCCCCAAACGGAGCTCCATCTGCACGTCCTCCCGGCTGGCTGTGGGGGGTGGGGGGGTGCAGGGAGCCATCCTCCCCTCCTCTGGCTCCCGCCCCCTGCTCCTTCCTCAGTATCCTGCTCCCCCACACAGGCCCCTCCCCTCCCCTCCATTCATGAAGTCCCATACGGCGCCCTCCCCTCGGAGCATCTCCAGTGAGAACCGAGGACCCCCAGCCCTGCTTCCTCCACCAGCGACAGTGTCCAAACCCAGCCCTACCTGGCATGGCCACCGAGTCTATGCAGTGCCTGCTCAAGGCAGGACAGCACTGGGGATCTCCCCACTGCAGGGCTAAAGTAGGGTGACATCTCCCCATGACAGTCTCAGGGCTAGAAGGGGTCAGCTCTCCCGACCCCAGTCACATGTCCGCCCACTGCCTGGGTGGACAGGACTCCGAGAGTGAACAGCCAGGCCATGGGCTCTGATGCAGCCTGGGGAGGTGGGGGGTCAGGCTGTTCCTGTGGAGCGTGTGGGGCTCCCCCCCGCCCCCTGTGTGCTGATGAGTGCGCATCCTCTTGACCTGGAGCTCTTCCCCCATGCCCATCAAGAAGAGATCCTGGACTGCTCTGCTGACCTACTTCTGATAAGCGCGTGGACTCCCCAAGGGCTGCCTCGTGTGTGCAGGCACCTGTGTGCACACGTGTGGCGATGCTCCCACTTCGGGCTTTGGTCCCGGACGGTCCCTCTGGGGCTGTTTTCTGCATCCCCTGGGAGCTTGGCTGGCAGCTGCAAGTTGCTAGAAGCCCTTCTTCCCTCCCCCAGGGACTGTGGGGTGCCTGCTTCTCTCTGCCGCTTTGGCCTCAAGCGTTGCCCTGGGCAGGCTCTGTGGGCTGGGTGGGGGGCACACCAGCTTCCTCACCCCCAGGCTCAGCCCAGGCTCTGACCACTGCCCAGCAATGCCGCGCCTCAGCTTGAATGTGCCTCTGCAGCAGCCCCCATCATTCCTGCCGGCCTGCCCTCCCCGCCCCTGCCCCTTCCCCTTCTCGCATTATCCTCAGGTCCCACTTTTCTAGGAAGCCTTCCCTGCTGCTCCCGGTGTCAATTCCTGTCTCTGAGGGGCCCCAGGGTTCAGGCAGGGTCTGTATGCCTCTCTCTTACAGTCCCTGTTGAATATCTTGGGTAGTCTCAGCTTTATCCTGTCAGTCCCCATCAACAGGCCAAGACTACCCTGGGGGCTAGTGCTACATCAAATCCAACTCTCCATGGCCCCTTCCCTTGGTTCTGAGGGTCCAGGTTGTGGGTCTTCCATTTCTTCCCCCCACTCACTTCAACCCCCCTCTTCCTCCAGGCCTGTTCTCTGCAAGGTGTCAGCAGGAGACAAGGGATTGACCTGCACCCGTCGCTGATGGATGCTGCCGCGTCATCCCCCAGGTACGCTGCCTCTGACCCAGTTACTACGCATGTGACTTCAGAGGCGCAGTGGGGAAGGGATGGAAACAGCATGGGCCTTGGGGCTCAGCAGGTTTGGCCTTGATCCTAAGGTGTGCCACTTTTTAGCTGGGTGACCTTGAGTAAGTCACATCCCCTCTCTGGGTCTCAGCTTCCTCATCCGTAAGATGAAGAAAATAACAGTAGTAGCAGCGGTGACGGCTGACACTTAAATGTACTCACTGCATATCAAGCCCTGTTGGGAGGCTGACCTCATCTCTCATCTCGTTTTCACAATTCCAGGCATTTGTGCATGCTAAGTCCCTCCAGTCGTGTCTGACTCTTGTGACCCTGTGGACTGTAGCCTGCCAGGCTCCTTTGTCCATGGGATTCTCCAGGCAAGAATACTGGAGTGGGTTGCTATTTCCACCTCCAGGGGATCTTCCTGACACAGGGACTGAATCTGTGTCTCTTATGACTCCTGCATTGGCAGGTGGGTTCTTTACCACTAGCACCATCTGGGAAACCCACAGTTCCATGAAGTGGCTGGTATTATCATTATCATTATTATTATTATTACTATTATTTTGGCTGCATGGCACAGCTTGTGGGATCTTAGTTCCCTGACCAGGGATTGAACCCATGCCTTCTGCAGTGGAAGCATGAAGTCTTAATCTCTGGACCATCAGGGAAGACTTCAAGGTAGGTATTATTAGTATCCCCATTTTAGGGGTGATGAGCACAAGACACGGAAACTGTATAACTTGCCCAGAGTCATCTTGCTAGTGCTGGCACTGACTCCAAAGTTGGTGCTTTTAACCACCTCTATTTTTTTCCCAAGCCAGAATGTGGGAACATCACCTCCAGATCCCTCAGTATCCGAGTGGGGAAACAGAGGCCCAGAAGAGGGCACTGTCTCAGCCAGGGATGCACATGCCCTCCCGGAGCTCCTGCAGCGAGTTGACTGGGGGCCAGGCACTGGTCCAGGTATTAACTCACTGAGTTCTCACAACAGTCCCTGTGGCAGGTGTGCGTGCGTGCTCAGTCGCGAAGTGTGTCCCACTCCTTGCGACCGCATGGACTGTAGCCCTCCAGGCTCCTCTGTCCATGGGATTTCCCAGGCAAGAACACTGGAGTGGGTTACAGTTCCCTTCTCCAGGGGATCTTCCCGACTTGGGGTTGAACCATGCATCTCCTGCATTGGCAGGCGGGTTCTTTACCTCTGAGCCACCTGGGAAGCGGAGGTATACCAGCTCCTTTATTTCAGGTGGAGACTTGAGCCCAAAGAGTGAAGTCAGACCCTTCAGCCTCACTGGGTGGTTGAAGGCATAGATGTCTGGTATCATGGGGAACTTGACCTTAAGGTATTTCACCTTCAGCAGCATCACTTCCTCCACTTGGAGGAGCAGCTGAGAACTTGGTGGCCGTGAACTTCCCAGCACCAGGTGTGGAGGCCCTGGTTGACCTCCGTTCACCCTGTGTGGTTGGTACTGCATCCGTGCACACTCAAGGGCACGCTGCCCCTGGGGGCCCCATGTGACCTGCACCTCCAGG